TTAGATTGGTTAAGGAAATATATTCTTCATTAAATTATTTAATTGAACTTGTGAATTTCTTTCATGGTGAAGATTGATTGGTAAAGGTGTCATTATTTGAGCTTCTTTGCTCCTCTTAGGGACTAAATTGCTTGTAGGATGTAATAGCCTGATTTTAATTAACATTTTACCCGGTTAAATCATTCTTTTTGAAAATAGAAAGTTACTATGTGCAATAACCTGAATTACATTGGTATTGATTATTCTGTGTGAAATGCTTCTTTTTTTTGGGGGAAGTGTAACTTGTTAATTATTCTTTTTTCTCCCCAGGGAGGGTATTGTTAATTTATCCAAAGTTTTATCTGATTTTGTTTACCTGAATGTAATAGAAATAATAGTTTGATATTATTGAGTCTAAGATAAAAGTAATATTACTCTGTAGGGGTATGCATTTGTAGAAAGCAATATTTTACAGTTCAGCTTGAATATAATTTGCTTACTAAGTTAATTATGCATTGTGTAATCATCAATATGTTACAGTTCTGATTGAATATAAATTGCTTTCAAATTAATGGATTAAGTAATTCTTGAAGAATTTAATAAATAGGCTCACTTTTCTAGATCAGTCAATGTTTTTTTTTTTTTTTTTTTTTTTTTTTTTGTGTGTGTGTGTGTGCTCATGATTTTGACCAGTCTCTTTCTCAAATTGATTTCAGGGTTAATCCGAAAACACAACGCAAATGTACAGGTCTTATTGATATTAGTATATTACTGTTGTTAGAAAATTTTAAGTGTTTTGTCAACTGAGTAGGAAACCTTTTAGGTACCTACCTTACCTTATAAAACCATAACAGTGGTAAAAAAAATAAAGGTACTGATAAAGTCAAACTCATGCTACATGGCACAAGAGACTAAACATATATCCTTCAAGCATTCTAGAAAGAAGATTAATTTTCTCACCAATTTTATTTTTTTATGAAATCTTATACCACAATTTATTTTCCAACATAACTTTTGCCAATATTAAGATACTTACTGTATCATACAATCAGTTTGCAGCTGCACTTTAGGGAAACGTGTTCATAAGATTGCAGCAGACTTTAATTAAAATCCCGTTAACCAAAAGCCTACCGAAAAACTCCAGGAGCTCGCCACAGAAGTTGAAAGGCTGTCACATCACGCCTTTTCAGAGTGCCCGACACCAACAAGAGAAATCCTGTCCCTGCAGTACTTCATCGGACGGCATCCGGGATCCAATCCTGAAATACAGAAAGCTCTTCGAATGGTAGATGTGAGGGACATAAAAAGTGCTCCGTTGTATGCCATGAAGTTCGAGGCAGCCCAGTAAGCAACTAGTATAGATCGCTACCCAGTCAGAGCTGTGCGAGTCCACGAGCCAAGGGACCAATTGATGGCTCGTTTAGAAGATTTATCCAGACAAGTCGACGCTTTGATACGGAGTAGCAGTGAGAACAAAGTGGCTCGAAGGTGTTGGAGATGTGGTTCTGAAGGTCACCTACGACGGCATTGCAGAACACCCCTGGGTACGGATAATAAAACAGATGAGTTGACAAGACCAGTGAATGCCTTGAGACGGAATAGTGGTGAAAAGAAACCGACCATAAAGTGCTGGAACTGTGGTGTTGAAGGCCACATACGTAGGAACTGCAGAACACTCCAGAGCACAGAAAATAAGAGAGGCGGGTTAAACAGACAATTAAATGCCATGGGACAGAAAAGGATTGACAAGAAACTAAAGTGCTGGGACTGTAGAGCTGAAGGCCACGTACGAAAGAATTGCAGAACACCCCAGGGTACGAAAATTGAGACCATTTCTCAGCAACGACGCAGGAAACAAATGAATGACCATATCAAGGAACGGAGGTTTCTAGATAATGAAAAACCATGTTTTAAAGCGCTCAAGATTTCTACAGTGAATGGCAACAGTAACGGACTGTCCATCAATGGACATATCGATGGAGTTCCTTGCAATATGATCATTGACACAGGAGCTAATGTCACCTTCATTAGGAAAGATTTAGCTGAACAGTTTAAAGATAAACTTATTTGGATGCCATCCTGTGTTACTCTTCAGACTGCGTCTGGTGACAAGATCGACATAGCTGGGAAGTTAAGCCTAAACATCACGTTTGGAAGTGCCGCCTACCATCACATGGCATATGTCGCGGATATTACAGATCCATGCATACTCGGACTGGACAGCTCTGACTGGGTAGCGATCTATACTAGTTGCTTGCTGGGCTGCCTCGAACTTCATGGCGTACAACATAGAGCTTTTTATGTCCCTCACATCTACCATTCGAAGAGCTTTCTGTATTTCAGGATTGGATCCCGGATGCCGTCGATGAAGTACTGCAGGGACAGGATGTCTCTTGTTGGTGTCGGGCACTCTGAAAAGGCATGATATGACAGCCTTTCAACATCTCTGGCGAGCTCCTGGAGTTTTTCGGTAGGCTTCTGTTGACGGGATTTTAATTGAAGTCTGCTGCAGTCTTTTGAACACTTTTTCCCAAAGCGCAGCTGCAAAGCACCGGATAGAGCTTCAAAATCTAGTCTCTGATTTTTGGGAAGCGTCTGCAGGATATCCACTGTGTCTGTTCTCAGAGAAGCGGCAAGATGACTGGCCTTAGCTTGGAAATCCCATCCATTCGCATCCGCAACTATAGAAAATTGGGTTTTATACACCTGCCAGGATGTCTTCCCATCATATATGGATAGCTTCAGAGATGTACGAGCAAGCATCAGTAGAAATTTAAAACCATCCGGATTGCTCCCTGCCGTCACTACAAATTTCTTTAAATCAACTTCTTTGGTGACCGCAGAAACTCTATCATTAATACAATTTTTCCTTAGACTTCAAAAACAATAAACTGCTTTCAGGATCTGAAGACATGACTACCCATATCTGACTATATTTGTTGTGATAATAATAAATTTTGTGCATTTTTCATCGGACTTGTGCATTCATTTCGTAACAAACCCGTACGCAAGCAACAATATGCATGGGAAAAACTACAAAAACCAACCAAGAAGCCTTTTTGGGCGATCGAACTAGATGCAGTCAACGGTCTTAATCTCATGGCCACAATGGGGCCATAATATAAATTACACATAATTATATTAATTAGTGGCACAAAAACAATAAAACAACTTGTCAGCTTTTTCACATTAGTAACTTGAAAATTCTCTTTACTCATTTCAATACAAAATGACATATACAGTCAAAAGTCGTTAATTCGGACACCCATAATCCGGATTGATATATAATCCGGACCTCAAAGCTAAAATCTTTCTGCGCATGCACCGCGTTGATGCATGTGCATAGGCGTTTACGCGTGCGCACATACGACTGTGCATATGCGTCTGTGCAAGCGCAGAATACATTTTCGCGTGCGCGTTTAATGTATAATGAACGGCATAAGCTAAAATTATCTAGTTATCTATTTCAGTTAATGTTGATGATTGCGTTGTTCCTTAATCTTCGAATTGGATCCGGCTTATTATTTTTTGCAGACTGTAAGAGCAATTTTATAAAAGTAAGCTTGAACTTTCGATTATGTCAAATAGAATTTCCGATGCTGGAGCTCCCAAAGGATCTACAAAACGAAAGTATGTTTCGATGTCTATCAAACAAAAAGTGGAATTGCTGCAAGAAATGGATATAGGCATATCCTTTGTTTATCTAACCGTTCCGAAATCTGTTTATCAATTTCACGCTGCTCTGTGCGGGGGGGGGGGGGGGACGGCGCGGCGCGCAATGAACTGGTAGTTGATCTGTCAGCACTATCGTTATCTTCAGGGCAGATGTTTTTATTTTATTTGGCTTATAATTCCTTATTAAATGTAGTATTTCATCTCGATGTACTTCGTCTTTGATATGATTTAAATCAAATTCCTCGTCATTATAAATATCACGAATACAATCAAATAGTTTTCTGGTTGCAATTTTCTAATTTCGCTATGCATAATGTATGCTTTACGCATGCACGCATTGAAAGAAATGTTTAATAAAGTAAATAAATATTAAGCTTCTTTTTTTGTAAATTTTGATACCCTTTAGATCATAATTGCTCATTATTTTATAAATTACGGTTTCATATTTTTAATTTTATAATTTCTGCATGCCATCTTACCAGATTTAAACTGATGATCTATAATACGGAAAAATCGATAATCCGGAATCGCCAAAGTCCCGACGAGTACGGATTAAAGACTTTTGACTGTATACTAGCAAATTATACACACGCACACTATATTTACCCGACCTCCAAAAAAAAAAAAATCTTGCAGTTAAATCTTCTTAATAAATACAAATAAACAATCAAAGTAAATATAGCCAAAGCACTGGCATTTCTATCGGTAATCGGAGCAACTTTTTCAAAACACTTTATCACATTATATCTGCATTAGTGCCATCTGCATTCAGTCTTTTAAACCATGCCATTTCAGCCTCTAAAGGATTTTTCAGCTTGTTGGGCATAAATCTGAAAGCATACAACATTCTTTCAGTCCTTTCAACTTTTGACTAAATATTCTTGTCAATTACATGCATATTCTATTTCATAATCTGCATGAAAAGTGGGCAGTTCCTTATACAGCTTTCAAGGAAGCCAGATACTGAGTTCCATCATATTTCAAATAGCATATTTAAATCAGCTCCAGGAAGCAGAATTTGGCTCCAACAAGCCAATAATTTTGAAAATACTTTATCACTTTAATAACATGCTCAATTAAGGTCTGGTGCATTTAAATTTTAAGACAATATATTAAGTATATATTCTGAACCAACAGCAGATATAAAATGAAAACTATTTTCTAATTCCTTTCTCATTTTTGCCATATTTGCTGCATTACCCATTATGAAACTAAGAATTTTAAATTTGTTTTCAACATTTTAATAGTATCAATATCTGAATATTCTTAATAAAAGCCTAACTCAAATTAAAATCATTAATCATATTGTCATAGTATTTATGATGTTGTTTACAAATCTTACTCACCTCTGTACTTTCTAAAAGTCTTCGGCCTCTATGTCCTAGAGATAAGGGAATAGTGTTTGCTTTGATGACAGCAACAACCACATTATCATTATAGATGTTACGTACTGTTCCTTCAACCTAAAAAATATGTTACAAACTTATGGATGATAAATACACCAAATTAAATAGTTCATACTTAAATATTTCTACTTAAAAAAATATTTTGCTTTTTAAAAAAAGAAAAAATATGAAATATTGCTCAGAAAGATACTAAGCGTTTTGATAAACAGAACAGTGAGAGAACAGCATCTAATTTCAAGTTATGATTTTGAATATTATTCGGCAAATGGAAAATTTGTTTCATGTGATTGATAAATTCAACACAATTTAGATACTGAAGAACTCAGTTGATTTCGATACCACAGATTTTGGATCATACTCTGTTTTATTCAGGCAAACTTCTCAATGACTCCCCCCCCACTCTGTAATAACTTTATCTAACACAATTTTTAGTACATTTTGAAAAATGTCAATTGCTTGCAATATCATAAATTGCATGGTTGCTGCAAATGCAGGTCATCTTCCTTCATATTTATTGGGTTATATGGAAAGTTTTGTAGTTTGCTGATGATATATACAAATGAAGCAGTGGAAAAACATGAGAAAATGTTATTGAATCACATAAGCCCTCTTTCTTCTTCAGCAGTTGGAAAATTCCTTTTTTGGAAAAGTAATTAGGTTTATTTGTAAAACTAAATTGCTGTTTGACAGTCCGAAATGATGTAAACTTCAAACCGGAGAATTTTGAATTGACCTAAAGAGATGAAAATACGAGCATGTGGAGTATAACAAAACATTATAGCTTTACCCAACAAGTATTTATCTGACACTGATCAAAATAGAAGCATTGTATGATGGAAGACAACACCTTGATGGTTGATCAGCTATGGGTGCTTCACTTTTAAAATTGCCATTTGGAAACAGTAATTTTTTTAGTTAAGCATTTGTTTTGTGACAATAATTCATGCATATACAATACTTTATACTATTACAATATATAAAGCAATACTTTTTCGGGGATGCAGCCCACTTCTAAATGTTACTGAAAGAGGTTCATTCGGCTTACCTCATGATGTGTTTGTTGTAACATTATTGTAAATTATCTACTTCTCATTTTCAGTAATTAGCTATTTCAAAACAGGAGTTTCTTTATTTCATTTCAGTAAAGAAACACATGCTGAAATTCAAGCAAGCATAATCTGCTCTGTTAAAGTATGGGGTACTTATACACTGTAGGGGCTTACATACTCAACCTTCTTCAAATGATCATGCACTGCATTTTTCAAAATATTTAGTTTGTCTGACAGTTCCTGAACTGTATAACATGGATTTTCAGAAATAGCTTTTAGCAAGTTTTCGTTTACAGATCACATTTGTCCACAGTTTAAACTTCTCGAACCACCTTCAGAATATGCAATCAGAACCAGCACTTTGTCTATAACAGCACAAATTTTATGAGCAGTCTGACTAGTATTTTTTCATTTTTTTAAATAAAAGAGCATAACATGATGAAAATTAACTTTGGGTTTCCTAATTCTTAGAATGCACTGGGGACAAAAACACACTAGAAACACATACTAGTATTATGCAACATGAGTAGAAAAACCATATATATGTTTCAGTTAAGGCAACTTCTTTTCAGCAGTTCCAAATTAATTAGAAAAAAATGCGATTTGATTTAAAAACCACTGAATTTTTCAGATGACCCAATATTTGTTCTCTGCTTTCTTTACAGCATGTTTACAGTTTTCAATGTATCACTGCCACAATACTTTTTTAGTGATGTATAATTTCATTAAGGTAACCACAGCATCTATTTTTTAGCAATACTTACCAAATCTGTAAAAAGCTGAGAGATTCAGTTTATTTCTCAGAAAATCGACCAAAAAATAAATAAATAACAAATGCAAAACATGTCAAAGGATAGAACACATTAAAGTTAACCCTCTCGCTGTGCATCACACGATTTCCACGAGCAACGTAGAAGTAGCAAAATTTGCGCAACCCACGATTTCCGTGGGGATGAATTTTTGCCATCTATCTAACTGTGCAACCTGCTCTTTCCCCGTTCAAGGTTTCCTTTTGGCTTTTTTGTGATATTTAATTGTTTATTTAGATGTAGACTAACAGATAGCGTTAGTTGTCCACATTTCTGCCAAATATATAAGAATACGTAATGTAGCATTTTGCGCACGCTTTTCAGAGTTCAAAGATGTCTGGCAGGAGGCATATCGCGAGTGATATAACCTATATTCCTGACAATATTTCCGACACTGATAGTAGTTCTGATTCTGATTTAAGTATATTGAAGATAGTTATAGCGAAACCGATGAAAATTTCTCGGATTCCTCTGCAGATAGTGATGAATCTGAAAATTCAGTTTCTATTGAAAACATTCAACAGTGGTGCAAAATTGATATACAAAATATTACATTATGCAAATATTTTCATTAGTATCTATGTTTTACCTTTGTATTTTATAATAGCTTCTTTTAGCAGATATTTAGTTTCTGAAATCTAGTGCTATTAATATAATGAAAATAATTTACATGAAAAAAATTTCTTACTTCCGATATCATTTGTCTCAGTAACCTCAACGCTTCTCGAAACTGAAAGGAGTCAGGGCCGTAAGTTGAAACAATGGGTTCCAGCCCTCCAATTTTCAACCAATATATATCAGGCACTCCATCACGAATTTCAGCTTTATGTGCAGAAAGCTAAACAAAAATCAATTTAGATATAAAATTTTCAATCCAAAAGCATCATCAAAATTTAGCTAGAATGCAAGTCTCTAGAAATAAAATTCATAAAAAAATGGATAACATAGTTTACCATAATTATTACTGGCAATATATAATTTTTTAAGGAATGTTCAGTTCATAACAGTATCTAAAAATTATCTTTCAGCATAATACAACTATGTAACTGATAAACTGAATTTAGATTTAATTCTGCATGGATATAAAGCATTACATAATACTCATAATACTAGGCACACACACACAAAAAGAGTACTATTTCAAACAATAATAAACAGATATTTCTTTTTAGCCTTCCAGAGGCACAATTCCCATCATCAGCAATGATAATTATCCCTATTTTTCTGCTGCTAGCTGTGTGCTTCTCTTACTAAGTGGCTACTGGGCCTGTTTTCAAAGTGACAAGAAAAGGCTTTCAGTATACTCCATTTTAGGACGTCCAGATTTGTGATTACATAGTAATGTAGGTTCAGTGTACATTTTAAAAGATACAGGGGAATACTAACTCACCAAAAATCAAAGCTTTCTACGTGTATACTGCAAGAAAATGTCATTTTCCCCCTAAAGCAATTGTGGTTTGTTATTCATTTCAGAACATGTTGCAAAACTGGTAGTTACCCCAAATACTGACCAAAAATCTGCATTTTCATCATTCAAGTAGTGGCAACTGCCATTGGTATAAAAAAAACTCTAATTTCAGCAGCGGCATGATGGATTAGGAAGAGATGGTAAAAAAAGTAGCTTGCGAGCAGCATCAGAGGCTACATACTGTCTAGAAGCTGGAGCACTAATCCCCAAAAGACAAACTGCAATATATTCCAGAGTGGCCGAGTGATGTCTTTTCCAAAGAGCAAAATAGGGCAAGGCCGAAGTGTTCAAGGATTTTGATGAGTGGCTGACATTAGTTTCAATTAATTTTTTTATGCTTACTGAGATCCAATTTGATTTGGGGAATAAAACCATGTGTAACTGAAGCAGCTGTGTTTTCTATAAATCTAAAAATTCAGAGTAAAATAAACTCAAGTATTGCATTTAAGTGAGAACTATAGCTAAAGCCCAAGTTCAACGAATACCAACTGTGGCAATTACATTCTTACATTCTACAGCTGGATGGAGCTTTCTCATTTTCACAGGAATGTGCAAATAATTGTCTTCTTCCACAGTACTGGACCAGATGTACTATAGAAGAAAATAAGTTTTTTCCCTGGCTACCATCTGTCAAATTAATTATATGATAGTTTTCTTGATAAAAGCTTGCTACAGCATTTATTTAGCATGCTTGCCTATATCAATGCAGGAATTTTGCAATTGAATAATGCATACAATGAAGGCCATGCCAATCGACATGATACGCTGAATTTAGAATTAATTTAATAATCACATGAAAGTGTGTCATGTGACCCAAGGTGGATACAAAAGTATTGTAATCAATATATGAGGGAAAATCTTGGATAGTTACCACTGCTGATGGCATACGATGAAATTTTTCAAGTGGAAAAACAAATAACCCTTTTTTAATTAACTTTTGAAATTGCCACCTTTCTTTTGTACATGGCTGTATAACTGCTTGAATAATATTTATTTAATCCCCTCATGAGCTCTATCATCACCAGATATTTATTACCTTACTGGTTAACACATTTTCTTTAATGATCGAAATACCATTCTATTAAATGGGTAGTTATAAAGACAAAGTAAAATAGGCAATTTTACGAATCCAACCAATAAATGCAGCTTAAATACAGCTTTTCATAAGCAGATCCAGGAAGCCAAACTACTAGGGTTAACTCATGTGTGATTTTTATGACAGATAGTTAATATATTGTAATTTCTGTCAAGGGAAAATATTCCAATGGTTACCAGTTTTCCTACTCTGTTTTCTAATGAAGTCCTTGTATAACAAAAATTAGTTCAAACTTCATGAAAGCATAACTAATATTACAAAGAAAATTGTAACAATGAAGAGACAAGAAATCATACAATGTTGTAAACTAAAAAGTTTATATAAATAAGGACAGATACTACTCAGTTTTTCATGGAAAAAACATACTTCATAAACTTTCAGTTAAAAATTAAGCTGAATAGAAGGTAATTTATAACCATTGTAATGGGTGCAAGTCTCTTAACACTTTGCGGGCTGCTCTCACGCTGGTGTGACTTTTGTTCGCCAATGGTTATCGGCCACTGTCACATACGCACGACTTATTTTCGGCAACGACGATGCTTCACATCGATGTTTGTATAGATAGACATACTATAGCAAAATATTTGACGATCAGGAAACATTTTTCATTTTCAACTGGTTTTCCTCTCCCAATTCACCAGACTGTCTATTATTGAAATCTTTTTTCGTGGACGCTTGTTTTGTTAGTTTGAGACTGTCTTTCGCTGCCTTCAAATATCGGAAACTTATACGTTAGATTTAAAGATATCCTTCAAAATGCTCTTCGATGAGGAAATATATGCTGATGATCTGTTATCAGAAGAGGATAATTGCTCTGATAGTGAAAGTGATTCGGACAGTGGGAGCGATATAATTGTGAGACGATTCAAAAATAAGGGAAGACCAATAATTAGTGAATCTGAAAGTGATGAAGAGCATTCTGTGGCAAATGATTGGTCAGAAGTTGATTTTAAACCTAACTTTCATGCTTGCCTGGAACAGTTTGGGTTACAGGTACCATACACACCAGATATATTATCAACTGTGGAATTGTTCATTGGGGACGATTTATTTAATTTGTTTGCCACACAAACAAACTTATATCATAATCAGCAGAATAATGATAACAACAATGCATCAACGAAGAATAAAACTTGGATTGATACAAATGTTGTAGAAATGAAAAAACTTTTGGGGCTTGTTATCCTAATGGGAATAGTAAGAAAACCAGAACAAGACGAAAACACTTTTGGGGCTTGTTATCCTAATGGGAACCGTAAGAAAACCAGAACAACACGATTATTGGTCTACTCACCCTGGATTACATACACCTATTTTTGGGAATACTATGCCAAGGAACCAATTTCGGCAGCTATGGACGTATTGGCACTTCAGTAATAATGAGCACTGCCAAGAAAGGCTTGATAAAATAAAACCAGTTTACTCGTACCTGGTAGAAAAAGTTTCAAAAAATTATATAAACTTCGAGAAAGAATTATCGCTGGATGAAGGTATCATTCCATGGAGGGGCAGGCTATCTTTTCGTACATATAATCCTGCAAAATTATAAAATATGGAATTTTAGTTCGTATGGTGTTGTGAGGCGACATCTGGTTATATATGCAATTTAGAAATATATTGCGCGCAAGGAAAATCGCTAACTGCAGACAATATTGTCCGTGCTATCGCCATATTTAAATTTATGGCACGATGTATATATGGACAACTATTACAATAGTGTAAAGGTTGCAGAGGAGTTACTAAAGCATAAAACAAACATCTGTGGCACAATTAGAGTAAACAGAGGAGTGCCAAATTGTTTAAAAATCTGCTACATTGAAAAATAAGTCAATGGAATTTCGTAGAAAAGGGAAAATTATGGTACAAAAATGGAATTCGGCCAAAAAATTGATAATGATGATTTCTACGATACATTCAGCAGACATGGTCGAATGTGTGAGTAAAAGAACCAAAAAGAAGTGCATTAAACCAATTTGCATACAAGAGTATAATAAATTTATGAAAGGTGTTGATCACGCCGATCAATACCTATCGTGTTATTCCATACTTCGAAACAAACAAAAAAAATGGACAAAAAAATGGACCAAAAAAAAAGGGGTTTTATATCTCATAAACTGTGCATAAAATTGCATTACTCAAACGCGTTCCAGATATACATAAAAAATTCTGAAAATCCTATTAGATTCAAACAATTTTTACTAAACCTTGCACTAGCATGGATTAATGGGAATGAAGAGGAGCAACAATCAAGATCGGCTGCTCAATGTGATAAAAGATCGCCGAGGTTTGATCCACCAGGCAGACTTACTACGGACATGAGAAAACATAGAATAACACGTATTAGTGGTAATGGGAGAATTCAAAAACCCGCGAAGGGCCTGTAAAGTCTGCACTGCCGCCGAAAAGAAGTTCCACTGCATACATGTTTTTCTTCCTGCAACGTTTCTCTGCATGTTGGAAAATGTTTTGAGAATTATCATACTAAAAAGAACTATGGGATCCTAGAAGTTAAATTTTTTAAATAAAATGCTTTAGTACAAATTAAAAAATACAATTGGAATAAAATGGAATAAAAATAGTGTAACAGTTATTTTAGTGCTTTCTTTAATAATAATTATATACCAACTACTTATGTTTCGAAAAATTGCATAAATATCACCGTTGGCAAGCAGTAGAACCTGCGTGAACCGGCGGCAGATTAACGGCGCTTCGATAAATACGCGGCCCGCAAAGTGTTAATGAATGTTTGAATCTTGGGCCACCGTCAAATCCCAGAATTTTAGATGTAATCTTACAATTTCGCAAATATGAATATGCATTCAGCAGTGATATTCAGGAAGCATTTCTGACCATATGAATACATGAAGAGGACAGAGACTACTTATGATTTTTCAGGCTTCCAGATGAAAATGATTCCAAAACTTACAAAATTTTACAAATGACTTGCACGCCCTCTGGCATGACATTAAGGCTATTTATCATTGCTGCAACTATTAAATACTTCATTTGAAAATATAAATCTGAACAAAGCGAAACTTCTAAAATGCTTAACTGGGCACTTTATGTGAAGGATCTTTTTTGTGGTGCAAATACAATAGAGAAAGCTTTAGAACTTTCACAGAGCACTGTAAAAATTCTTAAGGATGCAAACATGAATTTAAGAATGTTTAAAATGAACTCAGATGAGTTGAGAAATTTATGGTGCAGATGAGGTACATCTGATGTGAGGGAAGCTAACAAACGTCCTTTGAAGGTTTTAGGCATAATATGGAAT